TGATGATCGGATTTCACTCGACGCCGCAGGGATAGGATATCTGCATGCATGCTGAATGCGATCGACACGCTGAACCAACCAGTTGTTTCTCACGTGCACGCTTGCATACAACCGCGATCTCGAGGAAACCGAGTCGCCACGTACGCGTGAGTCAGCCCGAAACTCCGTATGAGGATGAAGAGGAACGAACTTTCTAAACGGACATGGCTGCGGAATTTCCCTCTTGGATGTCCGATCGTGAGAGTATGAGGGACCCGGAATACCGCGAGTACTGGGAAGGTGAACAACTCCGACGGCGGGGGAACTTGAGAAACCCGAAATTCCCTTGTCTGATAGAAAACGACCGATTATGCGCAAGGGATTTTCACTGTGCCATAACTAACGACCCAGGGGCCCCGATTACCCGGATACTTATAACACACAATATTTCATATCCCCCGACTTCGTCGTTATTACCACCAGTTTCCCTCCCTTTCACCTCCTCCTTCCATATCACCGGCACACGGTGGTGCCGTGGAATTCCATAGCCCGCTACTGGCCCAGCAAACCGTGCGCAAAGTGTCTGCGGCACCAGGCCTATCGAGCCTCGGAATTCGCTCGGTGAAACCGCACCGAAGCCGAGCGGCGCCGACAATTGGTCGAACCGCGCGACCCGCCACGAAGGCGAAACCAGAGGAGATGGTGATTCCCACTTCTTTTAAGCTTGAAGATTGAGTTCGTTGGCAGGGGCAATGCTGTTGGGATTTTGTTGATACTGTGATTATGGGAAAGCACCCGCGGATCCTTGGTCTGAGATGCACTGCGCATGCCATCTGCCTTATGCTGCACGACATCAGCGGCTCCTCGTTTGTGCACAAGTCCCGAGAGGCAATCTACCCTCCGCCCTATGAAAATTAAAAGCGCGAAATACGGCCTGCATCTACCCCCTTGCGCTTATACCCCTGAAACTTGCCACAGGAGATCTCAGTTCTGACCTGGGACTCCACCCCCACTTTCATAAAATCCTTGGCACACCCCTTTTTCGCACTTCCGGGCCCCCATCCCACTCCGATCAGGAAGTCGCGCTGGGCGTGAGGTTGGGCGTCACAATGTATCATAATTTGGATTTGAATTTCGGTCTGTATTTTAACAGTTCATGGCTGTACCCACTGAGCTAGGCTCAGGGGTACCCATATTCGTCGCTTGAACAGGGTAGTTCAGCAAAATCAAGTCATGATTGAGTTACCGAAGGGAGGGGGAGTATGACATGGTTGCTACCGGGGGCACCAGAGTATCAGTCACCTCTAATCTCCAATGGTGTGTGAGGCAGATGCAGAAGATTCAGAGATTGTGGGAGGACGTCCGAACTGCAGTCTTCCTCTTCCAATACAGGCTGCACCCTTTGTCGCTCCTGCCTGCTGTCTTTCACAGGACTTCCACCACGGATAGAGGATGAGGTGGGAACAAATCCCCGAAGCCTGATGGAGGTCAAAGGGGGGCACTTGGGTCTATCATAGTCCTGTAATTGAAGCGGAGCTCATAGTCTCTGACAATCTCAACTACCTGCCGGATGTTCTGCCCATCGAGCTGCTGAGTCAGACTCCCCAGTGTGTCTCCTGTCCAGGTCACCGTCGTGATCCATCCCCCTAGATCCCCTGCTAACCAGTCCCTGCAGAACTGAGCCACCTGCACACCCTCAAGAGTCAGAATACATCTCTGCCACCAAAGTGTGGCTCAAATCTTTATCAGCATGACTATACGAGGGACGCTGGACCCCTATTAGGGCCCGCTGAGTCTGGAAAAAAAAAGGGACGCTGGACCCAAACCGTTTGGGTGAGTTTTAGCTAGACCATAGCAAGGGACGCTAGTCCTGTTTTCCAGCGTCGGTGGTTTCCTCAGCCTGCTTCAAGTCCATACTTCGTCTCAATTGTTTCTCGATACCTTCACCTAGTATGCTTTTTGGTAAGGGACGCTGAGCCCGGCTCTCAGCACATGCTATCTATGTTTTTTTATAAAGGTCGCTGAGCCCTGTTCTCCTTGCACATGCTGCTCCCCACCAATAGATCAAAGCTGGTGTTCAAAAAAAAAAAAAAAAAAAAGAAGGGACGCTGGACCCGGTTTCCAGCAGGTGATGCTCCCCACCAATAAAAACGGAGCCATGAAAGAGGGAGGGATCCACCTACATGAGGATGCTCGTATCACCTCCTGGTAGCTGTCTCTTATACACATCTAGATGTGTATAAGAGACAGGCCATGAAAGAGGGAGGGATCCACCTACATGAGGATGCTCGTATCACCTCCTGGTAGAGGGCTATCACGTCATAGATGTTAAAAAAAAAAAAAAAAAAAAAAGACTAGAACTTTTGTTGCTCCCCAAAATGGGAGATCATCAGCATTTGCACTCCATTTTTCTCCGCATTGCCATTGAACAAGTCTAAGGCAAGATCATTTTCTTGGCGCCAGTGAATAAGGCAGATCCAATGTGGTTGAAGATTTTATCTGATAGGTGTCCTTGAACACTTCAAATTGACCCATGAGATGGAACTCATCAGGAATCTGGTTCTCGGGAATCATCTTGATACCAATCCTGATGATGTTGAGAGCCGCAAGCCGTAACTTGGTCAGCATCATTTCTATCATTGGGTGTTTCTTCGTTAATTGGTCACTATCTTTGAACTCAAGAGTCTCGAACCAAATGATAAGAGAGACAAAGTTGCTGTCATGTGGTGACAAGACATTGGGGTCCATGATTCTCAGTGCCATAGCCAGCAGCTTCACCTTGTTACGTCGCCTCATCATCTCTGCCCATAGCCGCTGGAGGCCATTTGTGACCAGCTCCTTGGTGACCTCCTTCCTTAACCGGCAGCTATGGTAGAGGCGTTCCATATCAAGCAAGGTGTCATCCCAATTACCACTGACCACTGAGCTGTGAACTATTCTCCTCATTGTCGATTCCAATTCTTTGACACTGGTAATCCAGGGATGGGTCTCACCTCGGAGCTTTGTGAGAGCATCGCTTCGGCGAGATTCAACTTCGGTCTCCAGAAGCTTGATGATAATTTCATCTGCACGAAAGGGAGGGAGGCCTGTTGCGCTGAAGAGGATTTTTGAAACCAAGGAATGGATGTCTCGCTTGGTTGCCTTCTCACCGTCTGCCTGATGATAAACGTCATGTAGGGGATAAAATAACAGGGAGCTGCGGGTGCTGTAAGCGACAATGTGCAGAAAGGACAAGCCGTCAACTGTGCGGATCCTGTAACCCGATATTTCTACGTAGGGGATTGTGAATGTGTTCAGAATGTGACTCCCTGGAAATTGCTGAAAGGATCTGTCGCGCGAAGCTCCTGGGGCAGTGCGGCCTCGTGGTGGTGCTTGGTTGTTGTTCTTGTTGACGTCGCTGTCGTCAGCAAGGCCATCCTGTATTGGCTGAGAATGTAAGCTCCAGGGACCTCGTCTCACATCAAGTCCGGAGGTGGTTAATGGGCGCGCATGTTTCTCAGCGCTAAAGGAGAGATCTCTGGGCAGTCTCCAAATCAAGCCGTAGCTGGCGAAGCTCAGAGTTCCCGCACACATGCTGGTCTTCACGAAATCCGGCGAATCCGCCATCTTCTTTGCCCGTTCTTTTGCGAATACTCGCTCCAAAGCTGCAGCCCGGGAAGTGAGCATGGACATTCGTTCACGATGGACTTGCAACCAAATGCCAGGAATGCTCGCAATCCCTTCCTCAGCTGCAGTTACTGTATCATGAATCTGCTGCAAACTGCTGCGACGAACCGCCAAGGCATTAACTGACTCTGAACCTGGGCGTGTTTTTTTTGTGTCGTTCTGGGACTCTGTGTCCTGTTCTGGCAGGAAGGCAGGGTCTTGCGCCACATTTCCCATTGAGTCCTGCAGAAGGTTGACGATCGTCCTCAGCTGGTAGCTATAGCCGAGGAGCACGCCGCTTTCCATAGTCTTCACAATAGATGAGTAGATGGGGTGCGAGGGTGGCCATTTAGGTGCACAAGTGGTCATAAGCTGGAGGAGATAGTTTATTTTTTCCTTGGCTCGATTTGCATGCACGGATGAGTGCATCGGAGCGAAATGAGGTAAGCTACCAGGTTTTGATGCGACCTGGTCTGGATTCTCATTTGCAAGTTGTCCGAGCTTCGTAAGGACGGACACAAGACTGGAATATGCCTGATCCCTTGTGCTAATGTCTTCAACGCTCTGCTCCACAAGGGGCCGATGCTGTCCAAGTGCCTGTTTGCTGGGAAGAGGTAGAGTATGGATCATCTGTATGGCTCTGTCGACAAAAGCTGTAAATGGGTTTTGACCCGGGCTGGACACCAGAGCCAAGCTGACAGTGGAGACCACACTGCTGGGAATAGAAGAATGATCTACCCCTGGAGCTTGTTGAGGAAGGACATCCTTCATAACGGCAAAAAAAATGGCATTAAGGTCTGCCAGCACAGAATAGATTCGACTCAGTGGCGGCTCCAGGCTCAGTGCAGCCTTGGCCTACTGCATCCAATCCGCACAGTGAAAGCAACCCACCCATGGCATAGAAGGGTCATGTCATTGATAAGATTAAGCACAAGGAAGTATAAGTAAACCCAGACAAATTCAGGAGTCAGGACGCAGTTCCCCTTGCCTGGGTGCAACTGCTCAAAAGAGAACCATACATTAACAAAGGGGGACTAGATGGTCCCCTACAAGGATCTCAACCCTCCTATGGCAGGCTACCCAGTAGACTCAGCTCGACCAGATAGCCTGGACACACTGGCATACAACCTTCAGCTTCCAGGTGCCACATGGTCCAAGCTAGAAAGATATGCACAGCTGGATTGTGATGACTAGAAAAATGCCAATCGAAACCTGGGCCAACCATCAGTGAATATATCTCAAGGACGTCGCCATTCAAAAAGCAGAAAACTACCGTCTTCACCCGAATACAACGCCTGGTCATTATAGCTGTCCAGATGCAGCGATAATTATCGGGCGTTCTATTCGGGTGAAGACGGTAGGGAGTGATGCTTAGGGATAACTGATTCACTCGGCAGCTCATTTATGATCAACCAGGAAGGGCTGGAAGAATTTTATATCCGTGAAGGAGGCTTAGGCCTTCGAAGCTGTTGTGGGACAGATGGGTTAACGGAGAGCCGAAAACATATCAAACAAAAAGAAAAACAAGGAAAAAAGCAAAAAATCTGGCAGTGTCTGACAGTTTAAGTGCAAAATTTGGCGAAAAAAAAACACACCGTCGGTTAACCACTTGTGCTGGGGACAAAAGAAAAGAAACAAGTCTGGCAGTGTCACACTTTCAGTTTTGAAAGGGCAGAAAAAAAATGTGTGCGGGCAACAAAATCGGGTGCGGAGTTTGAAAAAGGCGGTACTGGTAAAAATGGCAGTGGCCCGCGTGTGGCCATGGGACTGGGGAGCCATGCTCTGTGATTATTGGCCTGACAAGCACCAAAACCCCTTCAAGGCAAAAATGTTCTTGCTAGGAAGGAAGGCGATAATGTGGACATTGTGGTGGAACAGGTGTCCCTTGGTAATTGAAGGGGTTCATGTAGATGGGGAGGAAGTAACCCCCCATTGTTGCATTGCCGTCTCTGCTTTCTTCTACCTTATTTCTGACAACATCCCCCTTTCCTGCCCCTTTTCCCCATGAATACTGCAGAAAATCATATCCTCTGCAGACCGAAGGTCCATACTCAGGCACAATGGTGTGCGGGAAGAGGGATGACCATTGTTATCAGGAGCAGGAGGGTTACTGAACCCGGTGGAGAGAGAGGAGGGGAAGGTGAGCCGGTGGGGGATGGTGTGGGATGGGGAGTGGTTTGTGTTCAGTGCGAGGAATAGGCCCCCGTGGGGCCCTTATCAGACATGTACATGTTCTGGGCAGAGGCCCTCAGCAAGCCCTGTGCCCGGCCTAAGTGAAGGCGGGCCTGAATGTTCACAAGAGGCCAAAATTTGACATTTTTCCATATGTGGGTACTCAGGCAGTTACAACACGCCAGTTGGTTGCAAGGAAAAGTGAGCCTCTCAGCTCTTTCCAGAAGGTGTGTGCCGCGCCGTACAGTTGAGCCTCGGGCACACACATTGCAAGGCAGATACATCAGGAACTGGCCACCTGCCTACGAGAAAGCAGCATTGTCGATGTACCTGCCCCAGGGCCAGTTCAAGTGCAGCAAATGGCTGAAGTCTGAAAATCCTGGGCATGCCCAACTGTAAAGGGCCCAGGCCTGCAACTGTAGAGAAGGGCCTGGGCGCAGGCACTGGGGCCCGACAGGAAGCTACTGGAAGCTTCTCGGCCAGGCCCACACGCAGCAAGCAGGGCTGCCACTTCCATAAAGGAAAGGAGGCAGCCAGGGCCAGGCATTCTGGCCCAAGCTGGCAATGCGGTCACGCCGCTGCGCTGCTGTGCAAGTGGCTGCATGCTGCGCCATTCGGCCAGGGGTGCACACAGGCGCTGGAGGTGAGGGCCCTGCAGGGGCAGCAGGGCGCTAGCGGCCATAGATGGGCTGCAGGGCGCGGGGCAGGTAGAAGACGGCAGGAGGGGTCTTCGGGAGGAGGCGCAGAGAGAGAGAGAGTGGGTGTCAGGGGGTGACGAGGGGAGACGAGATACGTACCTGATGCATGAGGGGGGCCGGCTATGGGGTTGACGTCATGTACACTGGTCTTCAAAGTTGAAGTGAGCCTGTTGTGTGAATGCGGCTGTAGTAGATAGGCAAGTAGTGTAGGCTGGGCGCTGAGTGCCAGACGGAGAGGAGCGACATTGGATACTGTGTCGGTGTGGCCTGAGGGCTTGAAATTTGGCTCACGAATTCGTTGTATTGCTCTTATTTGGATCGAATCTCGGTGCATTTGTGCTCTCTGCTTGTACATGACTATCTGGACATCTGTGTGATTATGCAACTGGGTTTTCTGTATATCGCTCTCGCTCATATTCCTTGCAGGAGGGACTAGGACAAATCTAGTGTGCGGATAAGAGACTTCTAATTCTTTCAGTGGTCATCGTTCCCACTTCCTCTCCACTGCCTGCCATTGCTTCCAGGTTCGGGGGTAGTTATCCCGGAGTTCGCGGTAGGCTTTGTTGGGGTCCACCCACAATAGTTTGAGACCGTTTGCTATGGACTACCACGTCTCCTGTGTGTGACATCTGATAACTTCCTCTCTCTCTCTCTCTCTCTCTCTCTCTCTCTCTCTCTCTCTCTCTCTCTCTC